TGTGGCTGTCACCAGAGGTGTCAGGTTCTCCCTCCTGGTGCCACCCTGGCAAGGCCGAGAGGCAGTGGGCAGGACACCAGCTCCACGGGTGTGAGCACAGGGTGTGGGCATCAGTGAGGGAGGGGCAGGCACCCGCAAGGGAAGGACAGGTCCTGGGGACAATGGCCAGGGTGGCTGTAGCTCTGGAGAGGCCATCTGCCGTTGGTGCCTGCCCTGCCCACCACCCATTTCCCCTTCTTATTCCCCCGGCAACAATACCCCAATTTTCCTTTCGGGGACCTCCCATTTACCCTCTCTCACTCCATAAATTCAGGTATTTATATTCAACCTGGGTGTTCTGTCTCCCTTAACACAGATGTTATTTCAGGGACGGGTACTTACCCATGTCAGTGCAACAGAGTTTACCCCAAAACTTTTGCTAGAACTGTTGGGAATGAGGGTTTCTAAGCAAGTAGGTATAAGCAGATGTAAGTCCAGAGTGCTGTTGTCTTAAACCTCCCCAGAGAACAAATCTGCCTGAGAGTGAAGCCAACACAGAGGAGTGCAAAACAGAGGGATAGAGACAGGTAGATTCCCAATAATATCCTATGAGCATCTGGGTCCAGCCATGCCTGAAGCTATCTGCTCTTGGACTTTGCAGTAACCCAAGGATTCTGTTGTAACACATTCCTTTTTCTGCTCAAGGCAATTTGAGATGGGCTTTCTCATCTTGCATTAGAAAGTCCTGACTCATATAAGCTCTATGATGCTTCTCTTTGGTGTGTGTTCACCAAGATTGCAGTGATTGTAATGTTACACTATAGCTAACAGGTCTGACCTCTATGCAGGAAGTGACCAGAAAGGGTTCTTCCATTATGGGTTTGTACCCCCACCAGCCAGGAGAGAGAGAGACAGAGAGAGAGAGAGAGAGAGAGAGAGAGAGAGAGAGAGAGAGAGAGAGAGTGTGTGTGTGTGTGTGTGTGTGTGTGTGTGTGTGTGTGTGTGTGAGTTGGGGGCAGTGGATCATCATGGAAGCACTTCCATAAAATCTCACAAAGTCTGAAGAGGGTATCCTGGGATTGTAGGTCTGAATTTTGCCAGAGTCACCAACTATTTCCTTATAACCTGGATCCTCTTATGCTACATGAAGAATTGCTGAAATATTTGCCTATTTGCAGACATTAGAACCAGTTATGTTTAATTGTTTAAACACATTGTTCTCCTTATTACAGCCTGATGAACCTGGACCCAAGCCCCACAGACACACTGGACTCAACCCACAGACACGCACGCAGAGCCCAGGGCTAGAGACGTGCCCTGGGGGTCCAGGAGTATCGCCAGGTGCTCAGGGTCAAGATAGGGGGTCCGGGCCTCAGGCTACCCCTGAGCTCACAACTCACACTCTTCTCCCACCAAGAGAATAGCTCCCATTGGCTCTAGATGCTGTATTCTCTGGGCATTTGTCCCGCCGAGCTTCCCTGTGATGACAGATGACTGCCACAGCCATCCATCAATCCTCAAATGCCACCTTCTCTGTGACGCATCCCTGCTGGCTATAAGGAATGTTTTCCCTCTCTGTACTCTCACCATACTCAACCCACTAAGCATAGGGACAGTTACTTGCGAGCAGGTACCATGTCCAGTTCGTGTTTGCATCACCTCCCCGACACTCCCCCATACAGTTAGCATGGATGGGTGGATGGATGGATGGATGGAGTTGGTCAGCACATGGAGTGTGGGAGAACTGGATGGCTACAAGGATAGGTGGATGACAACGACCAGGTAGGTGATGGATGGATCATTGATTTTGGAGGAATGGCTGATTTAGTGAAGATATGAGGTGGCTGCCTATGTCTGCATGATGGATGGATTGAAAATAGATGAATGAAAAGTTATAAATGGATTGATTTAGATTGATAAGAAGATATTGATGAATTGGATAGGTTAGTGGATGGATAGATGAATAATAAGATGTGTGGATGGATGGATGGATGGATGGATGGACAGGTGAATGAATAGGTGGATGAATGGCTACCTAGATTCACAACTGAGTCACAGTCTCAGAAAATCTAGAAAATTGGGCCACCACCAGGTGAGGATTAGATAGTTTTCACATCAACAAAGATAAATTGTGACATCACTTTGAAAATCTTCATGCTTAATATCCTCATTCCCCAAAATTTAGGATTTTGGTTCTCCCTGAGAATGTGTAATATTTAATTTCTTTAAAGTACATCTGAAACAAGAATGGCAAAACATTAAGTTTTGACAAAACTGAGTGATTATTATGTAACTTTTCACCATGTTATTCTTGGACTTCTGACATCTGAGGTACACTACAACAAAAAAGGAAAAGGGAAATTCCCCATTCAGATCCAGAAACTCCTGAGAGGTGAAAAACTGTCCCAGGGAGTGTTTTCAGGGCAAGAGGACAGCCATAAAGATGAGGCCTGGCGCCATGACTACAGGCTGGGGGCCCCAGCAGGGACCCACCTACCATTTTCTTTGTGGCCTCCAAGAGCTCTTCGTCTGTCTTCTGGCGCAGGCAGTGAACCATGACAGCCGAGGTGGTGGTTTTACACCCAGCAGCAACGGCAACTTTCTGCAAAGATCACAGGCAGCAAGAGTTCAAGAGCAATGTCCCTTCCCTCCGTCAAGGTAGAAGAGGTGTTCTGTCCCCAGCCCAGTGTATGAGGCCACAGGGGGAGCAGAAAGTACTCTAGACCAGACATGTGGGCTCTGGGCCCACAGAGTGCTGCCTCTGTGCCTGATCTGAGTTGTGACATGAGTCATAATTACACACTCCCTCTGTCTGTTACCTTCTCTCTGTTAAAATGGGTGTAATGATCTCAAAGCTGAGTGTCTCAAGAGAGGAGGTAGTGTGGGGGGTGTAAGAGCATGGAGACCCAGTACCACTGTCTGGTTTCCAAGCCCAGCTCCTGCATGTACTGGCCACTTGGCCTCAGGAAAACCACTTGCATTCTTTGTGCCTCAGTTTCTCCACCCTTCGATGGGCACAATGATGATCTCACCCACCTTACGAGCTAATACATGGGCAGAGCGTAGGAGGCTGCCGTGTCTCCCACGCACTGAAACACGTGCAGAACTGCAGGAGGCCTGGGTGAGGTGATTCGCACCAAGGAACTTCAGAAAGTACTGAATGGGACTTAAACGGGAGCCTAAAGGCAAGCAGCGCGCGCCCATCCTGAGCGTGGACGGTGCTTCTCAGCAAGTGAGGCGTCTACGGCACAGCTAAGAGTTTCCACCTGCACAGTCACGTGCTGGAGTCCTGAGCACCAGCCAGACGCGACTCTCCAGGGCAGGGCTCAGACGTTTGCATCAAAGGGACAAACAGTCGTATTTGAGGCTTCGTGGGCCATGTGGTCTGTGTTGCACCTTCTCAACTCTGCTACTGAAGTAGATTAAATGCATTTCTCTGTGTTCCAATAAAACTTTAATTATGGACACTGAAATTTGAATTTCATATAATTGTCACAGGTCTTGAAATATTCTTCTTTTTAAATTTTTTTCAATTATTTAAGCATTAAAAAAGTCATTCTTAGCCCAAGGGCCATACAAACATAGGCTCAGATGTGTCCTCCTGTGTCCTAAGACAAAGCCACCGAGGAGCACCTGTTAATGCATGGAGAACCCCTGACCCCATCCCAGAACCCCTTCCCATCTTAAAAAAAGTAAGAAGAAAACCCTCCTGAAGGAGAGGCTCCCCTGAGTCTGTCTTGGACACCGGGGGTGGTCTGTCCCACACACCGTCACCCGGACTTTTCTGAGAGGCCGCGTTTGATGCACCAAGGGGGGCATCTCAGCAAAGCCGGGGCCCTGAGCCTCTCTCCTAAGTGATCTGGGATGGGAGTGGAGAGCTGAGAGTGTAGACATGAGTGTTTTCCAAACAGAAGAAAACCTGACTACTTTCTGGATCCACAGGGGAGTTCCCAAGCCCAGGGCCAGATGGGCTGGTCGCAGGAACTGACAGCAAAGCTGGGCCAGAGAGGAAGGCGCTGAGGGACCCAAGGTGGGCTCCATGGCGGCAGGGCCATGGGGAGTGCACAGGGTCCCAGAGCCTGGACAGTGTCTGCTGCAGAATCCCTGCTCAGAACTTACTTGGTGAACGAACTGACAGGAGGAGGGAGAAGAGGAGAAGAGGGAGGGGGAGAGAAGAGCAAGAGTCAGAGAGACCTGGATTCCCTTCACTCTGCAATTTCTGGCTCCTGTTTCTTCACAAAGCCCAGCCTCACCCCTGCCACCTCTGCTCCCTCGGAAAATAAATTCCCTTCCTTGACTCAAGCCTGCCCCAGTGGCCACTTGTCACTTATAACCAATGAATTCGGAAAAAAAATCTCAAAAATTATTAAAAATCCTTGGCGCCTCCATTTCCTCCCCACCTGCTAATCAGCCCCTGAAGTCTGAGCTGCCCCAAAGCAGCTCCCACAGCCCCACCCAAACCCTGCGCCCCTCTGGCTCCAGTGGGCCCTGTCGGTCACCCCTTCCTCTCTTCCCACCGCTCTCCAGATAAACACAAACTCCTCCCCAGGGTCCTGTGCGGCAAGGCCCCTGCCACTGGCCCTACCCTGTGGACCTTGGCACTTGTCTTCCACGCTCGGCCCAGTTTGCTCGGCTGTAAACTTGGGAGGTTGAGCAAGGGGTCTCCTTGTCCTTTCCCCTCAGCTGCTGTCACTTCAGTGACTCTTTGAGAATATCCTCTGGATCCCAGAGCAAGAGGGCAGAGCCAAGGGTGTGGGAGCATCCCGGGAGAGACCTACCTCTGCCAGGGGCTTGATGTCACCGTTCTGGACCAGAGTAGCAGTGAGGGCCACACCACTCTCAGAAATGGCCCGGTGGAAGAGGTTCTTGGCCAGGGGAGACAAAACCTGGGAGGGGAGAGGACAGGAGGAGAGTTCATGCTCAGGGGAGGGTCCACCCACAGCTCTGCCCTGGACAGGTCCC